TTATGTTTAGCGCTCAATGTCCCACCAACGTCGACGACAACCGAAGTCTCGAAAACGGAGCCTTGTACGAAAAAATTGTATCCCTCTTTTTCGACTTATTTTTGTCAGCCTGTATAGTAAATATTAAATTATATTAATTATTAATTATTATAATATGTATTAATATAGCAAATACTAAGATAAATATTAATTAACATATATTGTATATTATTTTATATTACATACTGTACAGATTATATTACATTATATACATTATATTATATTACATTACGTACAGATGATTTCAATGTATTAATATAGCAAATACTAAGATAAATATTAATTAACGTATATTATATATTATTATATATTATTTATATATTAATATCATCAGTATTAATAAAATACAGTAAATAATATATATTTAAATAATATAGCAAATATTAAGATAAATATTAATTAACATATATTATATATTATTTTATATTACATACAGTACAGATTATATTACATTATATTACATTACGTACAGATGATTTCAAAGTGCAAGCTCAATCTCATGTTCCTTTGGACACGGTGACCCCATAGCTCGAAAAGTATTGTATTCATCTTTCTTAAATAGATATAATCACCTAGTCAAATTTAATCATACAGTATTAGTGTAGTTTTATAGGAAGAATGCAGGATGTTAGCAGTGTTAGTTATTTCTTTTTGCTACTAGGTTTGGCGGTTGTTCAGAATAAAGGATGAGAAATAGAGAGACATTTTATGATAGTAAATATATATTTTCGATACATGTTAGTTTTACAATAAAATTTTCATAATTATATAATTTTTCTGACAATGTTCGTCAACACTTCCTCCCGGTAGGCTGAGTCTTCCCTCCACGTATAGGAAGCTTTTACACGGAAGAGTGTACAAGTCTTGATGTTGAATGGGTATTCTTATCTCATCGCTGTTTCCAAACGTTGTGTTGGCATACGGATTGTAGGTGTGCAAGTCGATCTTAGTTATTCGATTGTCGAAGGTTGGTGCCTCGGAGATGTTCAAAATGTCGTCGGACATGGTGGTAAAGCGAGTTCGATTACTTGGTAACGATGAATCCCAAAGATCGTAGATATTCCACGTTTCGCGCGGTTAGTTTTCTCGTCTTCTTCTTCTCCTTATTGTTGTTGTTATTTCGAAACGGCGCGCCGTTTTTTATGTTCGACGTATTCGATATC